CAACACCAGCTTTTTTTCCTCCCTCCTCTACTGCTCTCCACTACTGTATTTCTCCAAATCAGTGACTTTTAAAAATCAATATCCAAGCAAACCTTTTCTTGGAAGGCAAAAATCCAGGTGGAAGTTCTGTACCTAATGTAACAGCCTAGTAAGGGGATGAGTATGTCTTTCATTCCCAGAATATCCTACTCCTATTTCTACATACAAAGGCAGTTGTATTTCACAGTTGCAGTCAAGATCCCCTGTCCCAAATTAAACATTTCTTTCTTGTAACTCTCACTTGTCCATCTTATTCACTTGTTGTTTAGTTGTGCTTTCAAAGACACATTCAAATCGATTTTTCCCTTTCAAGACTCATATATACTATTAGTCATATTTTATTCATAACTCTTCTTGTAACCATAGATTTAAACACTTTAAGATACCTTTCAGTTCAGTAGTTTTAAGCCAACCCAATATGTACAACCCAATTGACGGCTACAACAGGTAGCCTGAGCAGGAAGATTGTTACAGGGTATTCATTTTTGTGCACAAAGTCATACAGCAATGGATATAAAAATGTGCATTAAAGAAGGACATGCTTGAGCCCAAGGAATTCAGTATTGGAATTTCTGGAAAAAACTTGCATAGATTTCAGTAGCATTATTTAAGTTGAAAATGTCATGGAATTCATTTCTTTAAGGCAAGTGTCCACCTACAAATCCTCTGCCTCATATTTTCTGCTTCTGATGTCAGGAATTCTCATTCACAAGAGAAAAATGCATGAAAATTATTAAAAACAAAAAACCTCCAGGCAAACAGTATTATTTCTTGAAGGAAAGGCTACCAGAAATGTCTGTCTGCAGCTTTATACTTTTGCAGCTGGTCTGGGCAGAAAATAAGAACAGCTTTTCATATAGCAGTCAGACTCTCCCACAAGCCATTTCAACAGAAATGACTTTCCATTGCTGGGAATCTTGTACAAATGCAGGTGTGAGTAGAAAATGGTACTAAATTGATACCAGAAAACAGTAGGTTAGTATTTTACAATTCCATTGTACAGAATAAATAGCAGTGGAAAAGGTACAAAAAAAATGAAGAGGCTCAAGCAATTTTGAATACAGAGAAGCACCTGAAAGCATCACTTTTTTTTTTTAAACAGATATGGCAATCACATCTCTAGCTGGAGCCAAATTTAACCCCAAAGTTGCATGTCTGAGCTGTGTCCCTAAATACCATTCCACTAAGTACGTGATTATGGTGTCTAACTTCCAACATATGCAGTTCAGGACAGAAAACATTACACAGTTCATGCTAGGATTGCTAAAAGGACTGCACACCTGCAATACAACATGACATAATATCAGGAATCAACACCCCAGATCTTCAGGCATTAGGGCAGAAAGCACCCAGGAGACAGATTACGATACCGATATTAGGTACTGATTTTTCTAAATAGTTGATCATGTTTCCTTCCTATTTCACATCTGAAATGTATGTTACCATCTACTTCAATGTTAAGGTCTTTTTAATGAAGGATGTGGGAAAAACAACTGCCCAGTACACATTTCTTTCACTTCTACATACAACAGCTTTCCGAAGAGGTTCCTCATCATCACAGAGTTATGCAAAGCTTATCCAAGAGAAAAAGCACTGCACCAAAATGATACCACTAATTGAAAAGCCACTATTTTTCCTTCTGAGGGAGTTAAAGAAGGCCAGCCTGTAGCCATGTGCAATGCTGTACATAAGACTTTTCCCAATTAATCTCAAAAACAGTCTGGCATTTTAGCAGCTTTCAACATGCAACTGAATATCTGAAACTCAACTTACCACTTGGTGGTCATCATTGAACTGCAGTGATCAGTAGTTTTCTGCCACACAATAAGGCATCAGAAAAAAGTATTCACACTACCACAGTAATCAGAGACATTAAGAATCAAAAAACATGATAATATGAATTTAGGTTATCTAGTCACAAGAAATGCAATGCACTCAAAAGCCCTGATTATCAGGACAAGTGCTGGAGTAGCTAATGCACAAGCAGGCTCAATTAACCCTAATTAGTTCAGAGTCAGGCTACAAAAGACTTAATTAGCAGTTATTGGATGCAGCTAGGAAAGGCAGCATAAATAAGGATCAGCTGCAAGCTGTATTTAAGAATCTTGCAACTAATACTAGAAGAATCATAGAATACTTAAGTTTGGAAGGGACCTCCAGAGGTCATCTAATCCAACCCCCTGCACACACAGAGTCACCTAGAGCACATGGCACCAAAGTAACTATTCCATTATCTAGGCCAAAAAAAGTAATTTGGGTATCACTAAAGCTTTAACTATTTTTGACAGCTAGATACAGAACATGAAGATATAAAAAATACAGTCCAGAAACACAGTTTGAGGATTTTATTGCTTTGGATGCAGTGATCTACAACTTGCTCCATGCCACAGTTTGTGCGCTGGAAATTATGTGTTCATTCCACATATATTAGAAATCTAATGTTCTCACCTTGGTCAGAAATCCCCATCTTACTGCCCGATATCACCAGAGAGTTGACGTTACCCACTTTTAAACAGCTCGTACTCATCTTGGCAGAAAAATGTGAAATTTGATTCTCTACCCAGAAGAGCTTATAGCTAAAGACCTGAACTAAGCTATTCCTCTTTTTTCCCTCCCCTTTTTTAAAAAAAGAAAACACTGAAATAGGGATTTCAGGCAATTCCTTAACACCAAGGAGTATTGCTTCTGGTTTGCTCTTTCCTGGAAAGTGATAAGAGATACATATGTTTTTGACAGAAGGAGAAACAGTAAAATATGAAAGCTTTCCAATACAGAAACCGCTTTTCACTCTGCTCTTACTCATCCTTTTCCAACAGTAGTTAGTTGCTGTTGTGTATGCTGAAGGAATAGCTCATTTATGTGGGAAGATAGATGCTTAAATTTCTAAGAAAGTTAGAACTTCAGAATAGAATAAAGTCTTCTTTATTGTGTTGTTATAGCTTGAAAGTCTGAACTCCAGCAGCTATTCCCTGCAAACTGAAGGAATATGCTTATGTGATAGAGAACAAGAGGAAACACCAAATGACACCAGAGTCAGCAATGTTAGAATAAGGACATTTTCCTAAAGGAGAGCATAATACTCAAAAATCCTTTCAGAAAATCCTTAAGATAGCATTTAGCTTCACCTGCTAGTTTCCTACATATTCACCTGACTTTACTTTTCTTATTACCTTATATTAAGCTGTCTGAACATAATTTTAAAGTATAAAAGGCTTTTCATGAGATGTCATCTGCAGAACCCTTTGCGATATGGCTGTTCTCTGCTCATCTTGATGCCCTTCCCTTAATCCTATTCAAGCCTTCTGCAGATCTTCAAGGCAAACAAAGCATTTTAATGAAATAAATGTGCTTTTAGCAGCTCTAGCTTTCAGGCTCATCTTTCCCATCTCTTTTCTGGAGTATTAAATGCTTCTATACAATTCCCGTCTCACTAAGTCTCAGCAAGTTCAGCCCCAGGGCAATCCTCCTTTCATCACTTCCACTGTTCGGGCCATCTTTTAAAGACCTCTGCAATTCACCCTGGACAAATGGCTAGTTTCGAGTTTCTACAGACCACACTAGCTTGACAGTCAAGGATTCTTCAGGGACATACTACTCTGGGTTTTGAATTTTTGACTACTCACATTTATGTCCATGATATCTTATATTTTTCTTCACTAGTAAATTTAAATAAAGGTCAGTTGTTAGATTAATAAAATTCGTGAACGTAAATGTGAATGTAAGAAGATTTGTGATTTCTAAATGCTTTAGATCCCCTTTACAGGGCAAAAATTATAACCAGCAGCTTCAGCTTAAATAAGAACTAAGCTTTTTTTCAGCAATATGAATTTCAGCAATATATTTTTCAGCAATATGAAAGGCAACAAACACCAGTTATTACATAATACTTGTCTTTTCCTTTGAAAAGAAAGGAAAATAAGTTAAGATTGAAAGAGACCTATTTCTAGATTTGATCCATAATGTTCTGTCCATTATTTTATTGAAACCTCATGTACAGGTAGATACAGTGACAAACTGGGGAATATTTTAACACTGAACAATATAACTGCATTTTATAAAACTAAAATCCAGATTCATTTACCAAGCCATGCACACTAGTTAATATTCTGCAGCCACCTCCTTGTGAAAATCATTAAATACTTCAAAGAATTACCCGTCTCTCCCTTCCCCTTCTTCCTTTTTCTATCTCAAATCTACCTTCAAAATTCTAGCTGAATAATTGCTTGGCATCTTAAGATTCTAGTCCAAAACTGTAAGACAACACTAGTACAGCACATATAATGACAAATCCTGTACTACCGCAAATCCTATACTACTTACTATTGTAAGGAAAGCTTTGCTTTAAGAGGATATGGTGCTGGCATGGGGTTCACCTGTGTGACATTAAGAAAAAAATTAGCCCTCATGCATTCTCCTGTCTATTTAAGATTAGGACAGCATCAGGACTTCTGGATTCTACTGCCTGCTCTGAAAAAGATTGAGATGTAGCAGCTACAGTAAATATCATGGGTAAATATCACGGGTAATGGATAATCAGCACCCTTGGGCTTTGGATTGCAGTTCAACAGTCACTTGCTTTTTGACTTTGGACCAACTGCTCTGCTCACTAATTGCTCTTTTCATATGGGCCGATTACCAAGTTTATCTACTTAATGTTTTTATATAAGTAAGGTTTGTTATTTTAAAGGCTTCTGAAGCACCTCAGCTATAAGGTGCTATACTAGTTGCATGTATTGTCAACTGTTACCACATGAAGACTTTTGGAGGGTTTGTTTTGTTTTTATTTGAATTTGCTGAGTTTTATTGAAATGATGCTGACTTTAAGGAAACAGTAGCAGTAAGAATGATCTGCAAGATGAGCAAAAAGCAGCCCAGGAGTAAGTCTTTTTTGCTTGTAAGGTATCAAATGTTTTATTTGGCATTTTAGTCAATGCAGAGAAAGGGAAAAATGAGCATGGGAGAAGAAGAATACAAGTCATTATGACACACGCAGCTTAATGAGTTCCTAGGTCTCCCAGCAGCCTGGAAGCTGCACACCAGGCCAGCAAACCCGACCATATGGCAGCTAACAACAGACTCCCTTCTTGATGCCTGTGGAGACTGGGCATATTGCAGAGGTCACTAAGCATCCCATGGTCAGACAGCAGCTGCAACAAAACAGTCTATCCTTCTTCAGTTTATATTAGATTGGCATTTGGAATAAGCTTCAGGGATTCTCATAGTTGCCCTTGTATGAAATAAAGGAGGAACTGGTTTAAAGGATTTAGAATAAGGAAATGCATTAGCTCTTAATGCTGGTCCACAGGCCCAACTTTGTGTTTCAATTAATTTACAACTGGGAAGACAGGAGTTATTTCATAAAAATAGCTCTATCAGAGCCAAGATTCTGAAAAGAAAAGCTCTCTATATAGATCTTTCTGCCATTTTAACTGTTCTGTTTAAGCCTAAGCAAACTCCTGATGCAGTGAGAAGATAAAGCTTAAGTTGAGCCCAATTAAGTTACAACATTAAAACCTTGTCAGGTTAATTAACTGACTTTAATCATGCCTTAGTGTACAAGCAAAGAAGCTTTGGCAGTTTTCTATGCAGTTATGAAGCTACCACCCTCAACAGTTTATTTCCAGTTCTCAGAGCAGCTATTGTCCCAAAATTGTCAGAGTACTTCCAGCCAGCTGGTTAACTTCAGTCACTACAACAAACAATTACTAAAGTAGTTGTTATGGCCTGTAACTAAGCTTAGGCAACGCCTCACACAAATGATTCCTTAGCTCCAATTATCTGCTTTTCATAGAAGTTTAACACTTGGCTGTTTGAAGGAACCCGAGAGGAACTCATCTCAGTGCTCCTAGCTGTCCCTCTTATTCCATTAAGGAGAAGGAGTGAACTTTAATAGTTACATGCAGGGAGGCACTTACCTTTCCTGGAGGGGAAGAGGACAGCAGACAGTCACTCGCTCCTGTCTCCTCAGTGTTTGGTTCTTGCAACCCCCTTTGCATGCTAAAAATACAAAACTTCCAAGTCCACCTCATTTATTCATCATGTAGCAGCACAGGTGCTGGAACTATTAGTGCTTATTTTGCAAGACCCTGAAGACTTCTAGCTGTTTGCATGTATAGGCCACCTTTCCTCTTTCTGACATGTACCTAAACCACATGGCACAAAAAAAAAAAAACTAACACATACACCCCAATGAAATTCTGCACTACATATCTGCCAGTTTGTGGTTCCTTTTGTGCTTCTGCTTTTGTTTAAGGAAAGTAATTACAAAGTTATTACTTATGACCCTTTTATTGAGGGTCAAAGAGACATCTGTTAAAAAGGCATCATCATTTGTCATGCAGGACATCTGGTAGCATTACACTCTGCTGAGAGTTACCCCATTATGTGAGGCCAGATTGTGTATGTGCTTTTGTCCTGTCTACTCACATTTTGTTGCAGGTGGTCTCTGGGATGCCTGGTGTCCTCCTTCCAGCAGGAAGGGAAGTTGAACATGGTTCATTTTGGGCTGAAGTTCTTCTTTAAAGACTTTGTAGATGCCTAAGAGGGGGGAAAAAAAGCAGAGAAAACACATGACTAAGACTGCAATTTTCAGGACCAAAAGCAAATCTCAAATCTGCTCTGATGTGCAGTCACCTGCTAACCAACATGTTCCCTGAGGAACAGCACAATAAGGAACATAATAAAAACAGACATCTCCTCCAGGTTTTTGCCCCAGGTGGCAACCAGAACATTTATTTATCTACAGTTGTCTACATAAAATAGACCAGGAACTGGCTGCAATTTGTCAAGAAAGCCCAGAAGATCCCGTGGAGAAGCTATGGATGCCATGGCCCACAAAAATCAAATGCTGCTTTCATATACAAGAGAGTCTCTTTCACAAGTGAAAAGCACTGCAGGAAATAGTTGGTATAGAAAGCCACTTTGCCCAGAATTTCAGAACTTAAATACCCCAAGGTTGAATTGCATCTTTTGGGTTACCCAGTCTCAAGAGTTGGGTCAAGAGCTTTCAAAAGATTGCATCCAGCACCTGTCAGCACTTTAACAAAAGTCTTCTAAATGGATTCATAATTAATGCACACATGAGGTGGTGTCAGCTTCAATCATCTCCAACTTCCTCAGTTTAATTTATGTTCTAAGGCCTTCCTCTATTCAGTAACTGTTTGTCTTCCTATTAAGACACCCCACCTTATAAATAGGATGTGACAAGGTGAAATGGAGCCTGAAGTGACAGCTATCGTACATGCATGCACTGTGCAGCTCTGCAGCTGCAAGCACACAAGGTTAAGCTCCAATAAAACCTTAAAATGCCTTTTCCATGCAGAACAAGGGGTATCTCTTTACTGCTTCCGCCTGACCCCAAACTAACCCTGCAACTCAGCAGCTCTCTGTCCACAGAGATAGCCTTGACACTATGCACTGCATTAAATGAACCCGATTACATATTACAGTGGTTACAGCTTAGGAATACCCATGTTCAATTACTGACAGTTTTACTGGCTAAGCATGCATATGAATACATATATTTACAAGTAAACACAAAATCACCATGCCCTCCTACTACATAATTAATTCAAGCTTATAACAAAGCTTTGATTTTCACCTTCATTGGACTATGCCATGAGATCACATCCTTGCTGTGTGCCTGAACCACTGGAGTTACCTCTCACAGCTAATTCTGCCACAAGGCAAGACCAACAGAGCCTCAAAATAAAAAGTGTATTTGCATTGCGAAGTTTGACTATGTGCTAACCAACCTGAACCTGCATTCCACCTCAAGTTTTGTATTAGAACTCCCAATTTCAGTGAAGAGCCAACTGGACAGGACTATGCAGGATGGTCTTAATGCCTCATTTTGGTTTTAGTTGCATTTGAGCAACTCCTTAACTATAGAGGTAACACAACTGAAGACAATTTTGCCTGAAGCTCCTCAAGTATCAGGGGGACTTGTAGTGTGTTCAACTTTAAACACATGGTTAAATACTTTGCTGAGCTTAGACTTCAGTTAACAGTTCTGTTGAAGATATACTAACCACTAAATTCCAGTTAAATGAGGTGTGTAATTCAAGTAGTTTAAAAGTTGAAGTACACAGACTTGCATCTACTGCAAAATAGAGGTCCACCTGAAATAACATTTGTAAACAAGATACACAAATCAGACCAGAGTCTGAGGTCTTTGTTGAGCTACTCCTCAAATATACCTAACTATATTTGAAAGCAAGACAGTTGCTACAAGATTATCCCATGACCTCCTGGTACAAGTGAACTTCATTACTACCATAAATATCAGACAAATGAAAAAAAAAACAAAAAGCCACAAGTTTCTTGCTTTGAGATGACCTCAAATTCAAAGGCTTCTCTCGCTAGGTAGAATTAACAGCTATATTCTACTGTACCAGAGCAAAAAAACCACAGAAGGGAAACAGGCTTCTACAGAGACAGACTCGCTTTGATATATCATCCATCACTGCTACTCAAGACAGACTGATGAAGATTAAGAACATGTTTTAAATATACACAAGACAACACACACCTCCCTGTTTACAGCTGGGATATAAACCATAGCATAAGCACTTTAAGACTGCAGGATTGGCTGAAAGCTCATTTGCAAGAGACAGCTGGTTCAAAGAAGAAAAGTGCTAGCATTTCTAGCAAAGATTTAAGTTTTTCACAGAAGGGAAAAGCTCAAAACAAACAACTGATTACAGCAGGTAGTAAAACATACCTAACGAGATGATGAGGTAGGTAGAGTATCAGATTAGTGTTACTTATTCTATTGTCATTTCAGTGGTACTCTTAAAACACAGCAATACTTCATGTAGGTCCTGCCACCCATGAGTTGCCCCAAATGCAATATAGTGCTTCTCACTTTCTTCCCTTGTACCTTAAGGAGTGGATTTCTCATGCCATCCAAGGACATACATTATTGCAGCTTATGAGTTAGTTGTGTTTCACTCCACATAACTAGTTTGTTCCTTTCCTGCAGGCACCCTAATGCCTAATTTTGAGCAGGCTCTCTCCAAATGAAAATCACTATCAGCGTGGTTAGCATTTGGAGTTTTAGTATTGATTTATGCCTCAGGTGAAAAGGTTAATTAAATGTGAATTTTAAGCCGACAACATGATTAGGGGAGTGAGGAAACCTGAATTCATGAATACTTCCAGGGCTGTTAAAAACAGCTAAAGTGAACAGAGACCGGAAAAGCTGTTTGTTAAGGCAATTGGGAAGACAAAGAAATAAATCCTGCCTCAGATGTTCGAAGTCCAGCTTTTTGTTGTTTTACACTTATAATGACACAAAAATTGCATTTAATAGTTTAAATGGCCCTTATAAATTCTACTTGTTTCTTGCTTTTTTCCTCATTTTTCCCTTCCAAAATGTAGCTCTAGAGCAAGGATGAACTAATGGCTGTATCAACTTTTGAACCCAGTCTCATTACAGACACTGCTGAACACTTTACTGATTTACCAAGAGCTTTGAAAGATCCCAGCCACAGCTGCAGATGACATACCTGGGGAAGAGAGGAATCTGATCGGCCTGTTTGTTTTCAAAGGAATTCTGCTCAAAAAGATCCTAATTCCATTTCCAACTAAAATCTTTACTGCTATTCCCACCTCTTAAAATCACAAGCTCACACTATTCATTTTCACCACAGCAGGAAACGCTGTTTGTTGATCACTGCAAAGGTGATTTTCTTAAATATTCTTTCCTCTCTAGTTTTCTCCACAGAACCAGAATAGACAGATTTACAAATACAAGAGAAAAATTATATTCAACTTGGAGACATGGCACTTGTAGATAAGCAATAAAATGGAAGATATCTAAAGAGATGGAAGAAACAAGATGCATAAAGCAACACTTGTAAGAGACCCACAGCTTGATGTGCTAAAGTACTGGAATCCAGGCAAGATTCTAAAGGCAAAAGCAGCAATTGAACTGCCTTTTTGTCACCATCACTACTCTACCACCTCCTACCTCACAGACCTTTCACTCAGTTGTTCAACTCAGTAAAACACAACAGTGGAGAGCTCTGTATCAGCGAGCAGAATGATGCCATAGCACTGCCAGCTAGCTTTTACCTCACTGCAGTTTTCATTTCCCACCTTCTTCCAATTAGCTAATAAAGCAACTAGACTTAGCACCATTCATTCCACACCTTCCACAGCAAATTACCACCTGGCAATGAAATCCACCCAACTCATGCTATCTCTTCTAAGTGGTCCATCTTCTTTGTCTCACCATCTTCCACAACAGACTATTGTTAATAACATGAGGCAGAAAAATCCAAAGCTAGTTATTTATGCAGTACATTGCCTCAATTAATGGAGAGAAAAATGTGCTCAATCACCATTTGTTTTCCTCTCCTCCTCCCATGAAGTCATAGGGTTGTGGAACTATTAGGCTCTATCTGCAAATGTCTTTGGAACATTGCACAAGAGCAGTCTGCAATGAAGTATTATGTTAAGTCTCTGCCCTTGGCATACTGTACCCATCTTGACAGAAAGAGATCAGGGCCTGAACCACCTCCAAATTTGTAACAGGCTGATGATATTTGCTTTTTGGCAACTAACGAGAAAAGATGCTAACAAAAATTACTCATTTTTTCTATTCCCTCTTCCCTGGCTTTAAAAAAGCCATTTTAAGAGGTCAGACCAGGAAAGATTTAACCTGTGAACATAAAATGGCAGTGGCTTATTAACCACTACAAAACATGTGAATGAATTTATTGGTTTACATAGAATCGGAGGTATCAACATGGGCAGATGTAAGAAAGCACAAGTGGCCCTTCCTGTCCTCCAAGACAGCCATACACACCTGTTTTTAGGGTGCTATGCCCTCTTCCAGGGAAGAAAGCAAGCATTATCGTTTCAGAAGACCCAGCACTACTACTGACCCATCTAAGTGAAGCTAACATCAAGCCCATGTTTTACCACACCCTAATATATATTCTTCATACTGCATGTTATTTTGAAGCAGTTACACCACATTCTTCCTACAGAGAACAGGAAAAATAAGACCAAAAACTCCAGAACAGACAGTCAGCTTCCTGGAATTATTCCTGTGGCAACTAGAGCAACTGACAACACTGTCATTTTGTGCCACCACAGCCCACACATCTACAGATCCCTGCCCTAATTATACATTTGCTACTTCTGCAATGTTGTATACACAGTAAGATAGCAGCCCTCTTTAGCTCCTTTTTTCTTCCAGAATACGTTTAACATCCCTCTGATAATTACATACTACACATTTTTCCTTCTACAAGTTAAGTGTCTGTCTGCATTTAATTCAAAATCTTATTCTATTAGCATGGCTGAAATTAGAAAGCAAGAGTTAGTTTTCCATAGTCTAAGAGTTGGTTATGTTATTTATTGTATGCAAGGCATCTGCCCAATTTAGCACTTTCTCCCCTCGCTCTAGACAGGTAAAATCCCATTTTAGTAGTTTACTTTGTCATTTTTTTTTTTTTTAATTAAAACAAAGGGGTCTACATTGGGCTCTTCCTCACTTCTCACCTTTGCCAAGAA